CATGCCCTTCATACCAGGATTTCCCATACCCCAGACACAGCATGCCCTTCATACCAGGATTTCCCATACCCCAGACACAGCACTTTCTAAATTCTGGGGAACCAGAGAGCATGTGGGGGGTCATAGGTCCCTTCCTTGTCTTATCTATCTGCGTGACTTTGACAAAAACTGTGTAAGCGGGTGGGGTTATGTGGCCCTACGGCCCCAGTGACCTTTACAAAGTAACTATGGACACAGATGGGGCTTCATCACCACAACTCAGTCCAGAGTGACAGCAGCTGCCACCACCCAAGATGGGTGGCACTTGTGTGTCCCCCACACCCCCCCACTCTTCCTTTTGGCCTCTTCCTATACTCCTCAGCATGAAGGACAATTACCTGTTCCTGAAAGAGGTGAAGAACCTGGTGGAGAAAACCAACTGCGAACTGAAAGTTTGTTTTCAGTATATGAACCGTGGAGACCGCTGGATCCAGGTGAGAGGGGCCTGGCTGGGCCAAGGGGAAGGATGCAGCAAAGACTCTGGCCCAAAGAGGCTTGCTGTGAACACCCTGGTACCCAGCTACCTATGTGTGTGTGGATTCCGCTGTCTGCTCGTGTGCATAGAGACTTGGGAGAACAAGTGTGGCTTCTAGTGGCGGCCTAGACTTAAATAATCTGTATCCATCCTTGGGGGCTGGTGATGACCTCACGGGGAGAACTCCGGCAGTTTAAAAGAATAAGGTCAGCCTGTGACTGAAGACACAGAATACTCTTGAGCTGTTTCTTGGAAGGAAAAATATTTAAGATATAGCGATTTATGTTTTCTTAAATGAGGTCAGTATCACTAAGAGATCATTGTGTGCCTTTTGCTATGGGCAGAGGCAGTCTGTGGAAAGATGCCCCTGCCATCATTTGCTTCTTACCAGGAGAGTTGGGGCCAGAGGCAGACTGTGGATGAGACACACTTCCCAAGCCAAGCTCTTTTGTGTTCATTTTGTGTTAGATCTTCTTATTGTGTTGATTTATTGGGGTGGTGCACACACCAAAGCCCACGTATGGAGGAGGTCAGGGGGCAGCTTGAAGCAGTTGGCTCTCTCCTTCTATCATGTGAGTCCCGGGAATCAAACTCAGGTCGTCAGGTTTGTCAGGAAGTTCCTTTACCTGCTGAGCCATCCCACTGGCTCTGCTTTTGTTTGGATTTTGGGGTCAGGTTCTCACTTTGTAGCCCAGGCTGGCCTTATACTCTCAAGCTCCTGGCCTCTGCCTTCTGAGTGCTGGTTACAGGTGCACACGGTCACGCCTAGTTTGCTTGTGTTTTTTATGTTTGTTGGTTCTGTACCAAGGTCTCCCACATCCCTGGCTGGCCTTGAACTCACTGTGTCATAGAGAATGACCTTGAAATTCTTATCCTCCTCCTCCAGTCACCTCCCAGGTGCTACGATTACATGATTACATAAGCATGTGCCACCCTGCTCAGTGTATGTATCCCTGGGGCTCGAACCCAGGACTTGGTGATATACGTAGCCAGCACTCTACCATCTGGGTTATATCCCCAGCCCCTTGTGCTTGAGTTTTTTAAATGAGGATCTCAATATGTAGCCCAGGCTGACCTCATATTCTCTAGCCTGCTCTTCTGCCCCCACATCCAGCTGGGATTACTGCCCCATCCATCCTGCTCCGGACACCCCTGGGTACCACTACAGCTGAACGCCCTCCTTGTTCTCCTCCACAGGATGAAATTGAGTTTGGCTACATTGAGGCACCCCACAAAGGCTTCCCGGTGGTGCTAGACTCCCCTCGAGATGGAAACCTGAAGGACTTCCCCATTAAGCAGCTCCTGGTAAGATGCTGGGGGCCACCTGGGGGGGGGTGACAGTGGGGACTCTTAGAGGACAACATAGTTAAGAAATATGGGGCACCCCAAAATAACTGTAGTCTTCCATGCAGAGCCTCTGTTTTCTTATCTGCAAGATGGGCCCATAGGCCCTGAGGTCCAATGCAGTCTCTAAACTGGGAGAGTTGACTTGTGGGAAATGAGAACCATGGGAGGCAGAGCAAGGCCCAGGCCCGGAGGTCTTGACCCCTGCTGCTGCCCCAACCTTCCAACTTGTAGTTATGAAGGTCTCAAGGAGGCAAAACAGAAGCCTACAGATGTCACCGCTCATCAGGACTTTGTGGATGTGAATCTCAGTGACTCCTCCCCATCCCGGAGGCCATTGTCACCCCTACTTTGTGGCTTCGAGCCATGTGGAGGACTGAAATTTGCCTCTCTGCATCTTTGCCCTTCACACGGAGCCAGAAACCCATGTGGGGCACATTACAGAGACACCAGCAGATCTGGCCTTCCCACGGTCACATGAAGGACAGATCTTGCTATAGATGTCAGGTCATTCAGACGTGCCCCTGCCCAAGTCCCCTCTGGAGAGGTGGCAGAAGCAGCATGTGATCCCCACTCTGGATGAGGGAGAAACCTGACCTTGAACAGCACCCCCTATCAAAGAGGGGGCCTCAGACGGGCTTTGAACTTACATGAACCTCAGTGTGTGCTTCTAGAAGACGGGGGATTTCGCCCAGGATTGTTACTCAATCAAGGCATCATCACTAGGCCTTGTCAGTGGCTATTGTGGTCTGGAGGCTGCCCTCAGAGGCCCTACATGTGGGTACTGTTCATTTTCCCTGACACTAGGGAAGAGGGTCATCAAATTGACCACCCTTGAGCTACCACAGGCAGCAGGAACAAGAACCAAGCGTCCAGCCCTGTCCTTTCTCTTCCCCTGGGCTCCAGCTGTCTACAGGGCTCCAGCCTGGCCTGGTGCCAAGGCCCGATTGCATTGTTCCCAGAGGCTGGGCCAGGCCCGGCTTTGTGCTACGTGCCTGCCGGCCTGTGTGATGCTGTAAAGCCCCAGCTGCACCTGTGGCCAGCTCACACATGGCCAACAAGGGCCCCCAGGCGAGAAAGCGCTAAGCTGCTGCCATCCACCCCACTGGGCATGTCTGTCCCTTGAATCTCTCAGCTGAGGCAGTCAGCGTAAGCCTTATCTGCCTACCACACAGGGTCTTTTTGTTGGTTGGTTTGATTTTTTGGGTCACACAAGTTACCCCTGCTCTAATACAAATTCCCAAAGAAGATCACTACATTTTTAATCAAAAAAGAATGAATAGAATATATATATATATATATGTATATGTATATATACATATATGTGTATATATATCCCATGTTGGGCTGGGTAGGAGTGACTATCAGTGACTATCAGTCAGCCATCACTAGGTAAGACTGCATTGACAAACCAACCCCCAAACCTAGTAACCGACAGTAACCAGTCCCTCCTGCTGCTCACCGCCTAAACTGAAGCCTGGCTGTGTCTCTTTGCCCTCATTCTAGAGCTATAGCCAGGCTGAGAACTGCCATTCCCCTGCTGTAGGAAGAAGGGATAGTGGACTTACCAGTCTCCTATCTTGCTCATATTGCATTGGCCAGAGCAAGTCATGTGACCCTGAGTGCCTTGGGGGATGGGGGAGGAGATGCCGGAAGGCATTTGCAGTGGGACAGGCTGCGTGATTCTCTTTCTGGGCAGGTCTAGAAAAGCCTTGGGGCTGATCAGTTCACCACCTTGCCTGGGGCCTCCTGGTTGAAGATGCTTCTCACCAAAAGGGAAACCCAGGGCCAGGGAGAGTCTGAGATGGCCAGGAAGGTCACCAGAATCTGTGAGGCCAGATCTTGATATCACATTGTGTGCCTGTGCCTAGGGGCCATGGCCCAGGCAGAGATGGGGTGCATACCCTCACATGGCACCCACACTTACTCTCTCTCCGTGTCAGACCTCTCACAGACTCCCTAATAGCGATAAGCTAGCCTCGGGTAGCAGCCATCCTTGAGGCGGAGAATCCAGAGCTCTGGGGCTATGGGCGGACGTCACCAGCTGTCACCACAGAATGGCTGCTGGGGAAGAGGGCTCCTGGCTGCAGGAGGCTAAAGGCAGATGTATACCCTCTCTGTGCCCAGGGCCCGGATTTCGGCTATGTGACCCGGGAGCCCCTCTTTGAGAAAGTCACCAGCCTCGACTCCTTTGGGAATCTGGAGGTCAGTCCCCCAGTGACAGTGAATGGCAAGGCGTACCCTCTTGGCCGGATCCTCATCGGGAGCAGTTTCCCTCTGTAAGATAAGCCAGGGCGGGCCTGGGGGTGGCAGGCACAGGAGCATGGCTGTCTCTTTAGGGGTGGTCTGGGGTGGATGTACCTGGAGTGAATCTAAGGGGGGAATAGCCCCTGTCGTGATGCGCTGCAAATCAATAGACACTCATAGAAAGCCACATTAGCCTTTACACCTAAGTATAAATTAAGATCTAATATGTAACCCAGTAATCCTCTTCCATAAATGGGAGGGTGTGTAGTGAGATGTAGGCCAGGAGGGGAAGGGGCGTGGGAACCTTGCGAAGGCACCCTGGCAGAGGACAGTGGGGGCTCCCTGTAAATAAATAGAGTAAGGTATGGCCCCGCCTCACAGGCGTGAGTCCCTGGCTCCTTTGGCTGTCCATGATAACCGTACTCTCTGCCCAGTCAATGAAAAGGCCGATTCTACCCTGATCCAAACAGTTGCTGGGAGAAAGTAAGCAGGCTGGGTCCTCACTTCTCAAGAGTTGCCTGAAACCTGAGGTCACCCAGGATCTGAGTATCAAGTCTCCTGGCCCACCTAGAATTTTCTACTGTCTACGGGGACATGGATAGTGACCATTAGCCCACCCTGCCCTAACTCAGAGGTCACTCATCCGCTCAGCAGCTACTTCCTGCGCCTCAGTGGAGTGCCCAGCCCTTGCCCTGCCTCAGAGGAGACGGTGAAAGTCATAGACATGTCAGTTCCGGGAGCCGACCTCAGCTGCTCGCTGGCAAACCCCAGGGCAAAGGCTGAGCTCTCAGCCCTCTGCACAGGTTTGACTGTGGCCAGCGCACCATCTTCCCGCCTGGGACTCCAGTACCTTGTGCCTGCACCAGGGTCTCAGCTCAGGCTCCCACCTGTGCACACCCAGATCGCACCTGGGTTTCACATGCTGAATGTCTGTCTCATCCTGGGGGTGCTCTGGTGCAGGGGCACAGGGATAACCTGCAAAAAGACTCCTCTCTTTCAACCCTGCCCTAGGTCTGGAGGCCGGAGGATGACCAAGGTGGTGCGTGACTTTCTGCAGGCCCAGCAGGTTCAGGCGCCCGTGGAGCTCTACTCTGATTGGCTGACTGTTGGCCACGTAGACGAGTTTATGACCTTCGTCCCCATCCCAGGCAAGAAGGTGAGCTGGTCCCCAAGACTAGAGTGCATTGAGGCAGGGGATATTTCCCCTTAGATTCACTCCAAGCACATACACCGGAGGCCACCCGTAAAGAGACAGTCATGCTCCTGTGCCCCCTCTGAGGGCTGATTCTTCTTCAAACCACCACACCTCCCAGTACCCCACACCCCACCCCGCGCTGAGATTGTACTATGATGCCTGGCTTTCTTTCCCCGTAACGAATCCTGGGGGCCCAAACTCAGGTCTTCATACTCGTGGGGCAAGCACTTTGGCAACCATGCCAGCCCCGTGCAAAAATTATTATTTTCTATCTTTTTTTTTCAAGCCAGATCTTCCTAGTCTACTCTTAGGCCTGTCTCCATTTGGACTAGCCATTCACGTGCTCAGCAGGCACACCTCGATAAAGGCTCATTGGTCAGAACACCCTAGGGAGCGGGGTTGGGCCAAAGGCTCTGGGCAAGTTTGCTCTTTATTGAAATGAAAGGATTGTCTGCCTCTGTGTGCCTCTGGGTTCTCTGCGAGCTCCTAGCCCTCTGGAGATGTCCTTTCCTGCCATCTCAGTCACTTTGGGGTCTATACTTTGACCTGATGTTGTTGTCCAGGATGGAAGAAAAGTGAGACACAGTCCTGAGAGAGACAGACCTTCCCAGGAAGCCAGTGACACCCAGCAAGGAGGCATGCAGTGCTTCGCAGCCAGGGCCTATCGTGGCCCTCGCGCATCCTGGCCACCTTCCCTCCCTGACAGTATCACCCACTGGGTCATCTCTTGCAGGAGTTTCGGCTGCTCATGGCCAGTACCTCAGCCTGCTACCAGCTCTTCCGAGAAAAGCAGAAGGAAGGCCATGGGGAGGCCGTTATGTTCAAGGGTGAGTGTCTTAGTTTGGGTTTTTTGTTGCTGTGAAGAGACACCATGACCATAACAACTTTCATAAATGAAGACATTTAATTGAGAGGGCTGGCTTACAGTTTCAGAAGTTCAGTCCATTATCATTATGGCAGGGAGTATGGTGCATGCAGGCAGACATGGTGCTGGAGAGTAGCTGAGAGTCCTACATCTTGCATGTAACAGGAAGTTGACTGATACATTGGGCAGTATCTTGAGCATAGGAAACCTCAAAGCCCGCCCCCACAGTGACACACTTTTGCCAACAGGTCATACCCACTTCAACAAAACCACACCTCCTAATAGTGCCACTCCCTCTGAGATTATGGGGACCAGTTACATTCAAACTGCCACAGTGAGTGGTCACAGGCCCTTAGCTGGAAGCCCAGAAAGCCCTCAAGAGGACCTTGTCTCTGAACAGCGAGCTCTACCACCAAACCAAAATTCATACACGGCTAGGGATGCAGAGGTAGTAGAGTGCTTGCCCAGCATGCACAAAGACCTGGGTTCAAGCCCCAGCACCTACATAACCCAAGTGTGGTGGTGCTCACCTGTAATCCAAGCATTCCAGGGATGGGGACAGAAGGGTCCTTACTTCCAGGACATCCAAAAAGAAGAAGGGTAAAGTATGTCTTCAGAACTAGTACTTGAAAAGGGTACCAAACGTAGAGAGGGCCTAAAGGACTCCAGACTGCCATGTTAGCTGCATCCATGAGCTTGTGTTTTCAAACCAGTGGGATGGAAGCCAAGATCTCCCTGGTGGTCATGAACTCTGCTGCTAAGCCACATCCCCTTCTGCTCCACCCCTACCTCCCAGAAATGTAAAGAGGGGGAGAGACGCAGTGCTGAGGCTGGAGGTTCCAGCTAGCAGGGCCTGCAGGGCCTGGAATGAGACTCCATCTCCCTCCGAAGTAGGGCAGACCTGGAGATGAGCTTTGCCCTTGAATTAATCATGAGAAAGAGGATCCCATCAACCAACAGGGTTCAAGAGAACCTGAGAGAGCCACAACAGCTTTGCACGCTCTTACTGCGCTAAAATAGGCGCAGCTTGTTCGTCATTCTCACTGCTTAGAACTCAGCATATTACCTCATTGAACAATAACTTCTACTGTTTCTGGCCCGTTCAGCATTTTTTTTTCTTAAATTACTTTTTGCCACATCTTGAGCTAGTATCTGACACTCAAAGTCCACTGGTTAATGCTTATGCTACTGTCCTCCTTGTCCAAGAAGTACGACTGAGTGTTGTCAGTGTCAAGGACAGACCCACTTGAGACTGCCATTCTTTTGTGCTAGCGACCTGATGGCGAGGTTTTCCTAGGTTGCCAGGCAGGAGGTTTGGTCCCATAGCCCTGATCTCTCTGATGCTGTAGTGCCACAAGTCTGGGATGTGCAAAGAGCTGCCAGGCTCTTCCTAGATCAAACAAAAATCAAACATAATAGGTCTTGGCGCTTGGGAGGCTGAGGCAGAAGATTGTGGGTTCAAGGCTAACCCACACTACATAGAGAGACCCTATAAAAAATTTAAAAGGGAAAATTTTTAATCAAATATATGAGGCAGTGGTGGTGCACACCTTTATAACCCCAGCGCTCCAGAGGCAGAGGCAGGATCTCTCTGAGTTCAAGGCCTGGTCCAGAGAGCGAGTTCCAGGTCAGCCAGGGCTACACAGAGAAACCCTATCTCGAAAAGCCAATATATATAGCTCACAGTCCTGCAGCCATGTGGCCACTTGTAGTGTGGGTGGAACTTTCAAGAATCATGGACCTCTATGCCTCAGTTTCCTCACCTTTAACAATAGTAGCTACCTCACAGGTACACAGTGGGGTCGCAGCTAAGTTAATTCACATTAAACTTTCAAAACAATGCTTTCTTGGCAGGGAGATGTGGTTCTATGGCAGAATGCTTATCTCGTGTGTATGAGGTCCTGGGTTCCATCCTTAGCAGCGGGACCAAAGAACAGATCGCAGGCACATGGGTATCCTGAAGCCTCTGGGCTGTGGAGCTCAAAGGCAGGCTCTCTCCAGGATAGGGTATTGGATCAGCTAACAGTCTAATGGGGCACCTAGGTGTCTGCTCCTCCTGCAGAGAGAACAAGATACCCACACCTGCTTCCTGGCTCAGGGACATGATGGGTGTAGAGAAAGAACTGTATGGAGCTTCCCTGGGTAGGAGATTACCACTCCACCCCATCCCTGCCAACAGGTAGCTCAGACGGAACACCCAGCCAGGCAGCTAAGATTTCCTATCATTCTCTGATCCCCACAGGCCTGGGGGGCATGAGCGGCAAACGCATCACCATCAACAAGATCCTGTCCAACGAGAGCCTCTCACAAGAAAACCAGTACTTCCAGGTGCGAGAACAGGGCTGGAGGGGCCATGTACAAGGCCGCCTCTGTGAGTGTGCGCATGCGCGCGTGCGTGGGTTAGGGGGCGTGCTGATTTGATGGAGAAAGGTCCAGGGCTTGGGGCTCCGGGCTCAGAGGGACCTCCACAAGCACTGATGGATTTGCTTGCTGTACTCTTCCTCCACCTTGCTGACAGAGGCAGAGGCCTCAAGGCGCTGACTTGGGAAACTTGGAAAAGCAGCATGGGCTAAGCTGATTTCAGTCTCAGTCTTACACCCTGTTCCTTTTAGAGTTTGTCAGGAACATGACTGCCATGCCTGCCAGTTGTCAGCAAAGCTTGACTGCTAGCAGTTTTCAACTGTAAAGTTTAAGCTTGGGGGGCTGGGCTAATAGAGCTTTGGGGGTTAGCGAGGCAAGCAGGCATTAACAGGAGTCTAGCATTTTCTGTTCATTTGTAGCTGGGCCTCTGGTTGCTTTTGAAAATGAACCATTAAGGGGACAAGTTCAGAGCCGCAGTGTTCTATTAGAAAAGTATTCACAGGAGACCCCTCTACCCCCCGCTTAAAACTCACTAATACTTCAGACTTGCCGTCCAGGGCAGTGCTGGCCAGAGTGCACCTCTCACTTTGGAGCTTCAGGAGCTCACACCCCTGAAGGGTTGGATCCACCCCTGAAGGGTTGGATCCAGGCACCACACTCTGAGTGCCTGAGTCTTAAAGTTGTACCAGAAATAATACCCGGAGTGGGGGGCTGGAGAGATGGCTCAGAGGGTAAGAGCACTGGCTGCTCTTCCAGAGGTCCTGAGTTCAATTCCCAGCAACCACATGATGACTCACAACCATCTATGATAAAATCTGGTGCTCTCTTCTAGTGTGCAGGCGCACATGCAGGCAGAATGCTGTATACATAATAAATAAATCTTCAGAAAAAGAAAAAGAAAAAGAAATAATACCCAGGGCGGGAGACATAGCTCTGTTGGTAGAGTGCTTGCTTGCCTTGCACGGAAAGCCTTGGATTCAATCCCTAGCGCTGCGCTGCTTAAACTGAGTTATGACAACGACAACCCGTAAACCAGAGGTGGGTGGATCTCTGTGAGTTCAAGGCTAGGCTGGTCTACCGAGCAAGTTCCAGGATGCCAAGGCCGCCACACAGAGTAGCCCTGCCTTGAAAAACACAAACAAAAGAAGAGCACCAAGACGTTAGATTTCTGAGGCAGTTAAAGAGACAGAAGATAGACTAGAACGGGCCTCCACAGCCTGGACTGTTTATTCACAACAGGGAAAGGGGTGTCTGCCAAAGGGGATGCTTGGGGTTTATATAGGAAGTTTGGGGAGTGGGGAGTTAGTGCAGCTTCTGAGACCACATGCTGTAGAAAGGAGCTGCGGGCAGGCCTGCTTTTCATCCTGCCCGGCT